ATTTCTCTGTCTTCTCATTTTGCTTAACTTACTGTGTTTGGGTTCTCCTTTTCGGAGCCTGCAGGTTCGTACTTCGCGTTGTTTTTGGTATCTGTCCCTAGTGAGGAAGCTTGGTTCAGTGGGTTGTGTAGGCTTCGTGTTGGAGGGGACTAGTGCCTGTGTTCTGGTGGATGAGGTTGGATATTGTCTTTCTGGTGGGCAGGTCCACGTCTGGTGTTGTGTTTTGGGGTGTCTGTGTCCTTATTATGATTTTAGGCAGCATCTCTGCTAATGGATGGGGTTGTGTTCCTGTCTTGCTAGTTGTTTGGCATAGGGTTTTCAGCACTGGAGCTTACTGGTCATTGAGTGAAGCTGGGTCTTGGCATTGAGATGGAGATCTCTGGGAGATTTTTGCTGTTCGATATTACATGGAGCTGGGAGGTCTCTTGTGGACCAGTGTCCTGAACTTGGCTCTCCCACCTCAGAGGCACAGCCCTGATGCCTGGCTGGAGCACCAAGAGCCTTTCATCCACACGGCTCAGAATAAAAGGGAGAACAAATAGAAAGGAAGGAAGGGAGGGAGGGAGGGAGGAAGGAAGGAAGGAAGGAAGGAAGGAAGGAAGGAAAGAAAGAAAGAAAGAAAGACAGGAAGGACGAAGATAAAATAAAATAAGGTAAAATAAAATAAAGTTATTAAAAATAAAAAATAATTATTAAGAAAAAAATTTTAAAAAGTAACAAAAAAACCCCCCAGAAAAACCCTGGACAGAACCCTAGGACAAATGGTAAAAGCAAAGCTATACAGACAGAATCACACACAGAAGTATATGCATACACACTCACAAAAAGAGAAAAAGGGAAAAAATATATGTATCGTTGCTCCCAAAGTCCACCTCCTCAATTTGGGATGATTCGTTGTCTATTCAAGTATTCCATAGATGCAGGTACATCAAGTTGATTGTGGAGATGTAATCCGCTGCTCCTGAGGCTGCTGGGATAGAGTTCCCATTCTCTTCTTTGTTTGCCCAGCTGCCGGGGTTCAGCTTTGGATTTGCCCCGCCTTTGGGTCTTAGCATTGAGACAGAGATATGTAGGAGAGTTCTTGCCGATTGATATTACATGGGGCCGGGAGGTCTCTGTGGTACAATGTCCTGAACTCGCCTTTCCTACCTTAGAGGTTCAGTCCTGACATCCGGCAGGAACACCAAGACCCTGTCAGTAACACGGCTCAGAAGAAAAGGGAGAATAAAAGAAAGAAAGAAAAATAAAATAAAGTTATTAAAATTAAAAAAAATTAATTAATGTAAACAATTTTAAAAGGAAAAAAAAAGAAGAGAGCAAGTCAACCAATAAACCAAATCCACTAATGATAACACGTGCTAAAAACTGTACTAAGATAAACATAAAAATCAGAAACTAGTCAGTTGCATACAGCAAATCCCCCAAAGTCCACTGCCTCAATTTTCAGATGGTTTGTTTTCTATTCAGGTATTCCATAGATGTGGGGTACCTAAGTTGACTGTGGGGATTTAATCCACTGCCCCTGAGGCTTCACGGAGAAATTTCCCTTTCTCTTCTTTGTTCGCACGGCTCCTGGGGTTCAGCTTTGGTTTTGGCCCTGCCTCTGCATGTAGGTCACCGTCGGGCATCTGTTCTTCACCCAGATAGGAGGGGGTTGAAGGAGAGGTTGATTAGCGGGCTCTGGTTCACTCAGGCCAGGGGGAGGGTGGGTTACGGATGCGGGGCGAGCTTGTGGCAGCAGAGGCCGGCGTGACATTGCACCAGCCTGAGGCGCACCATGCGTTCTCCCTGGGAAGTTGTCCCTGGATCCTGGGACCCTGGCAGTGGCGGGCTGCACAGGCTCCCAGGAGGGGAGGTGTGGACAGTGACCTGTGCTCGCACACAGGCTTCTTGGTGGCGGCAGCAGCAGCCTTAGCGTCTCATGCCCATCACTGGGGTCCGTGCTGATAGCTGCGGCTCGCGCCCGTCTCTGGAGCTTGTTTACGCAGTGCTCGGAATCCCCTCTCCTCGCACACCAGGAAACAAATAGGGAAGAAAAAGTCTCTTGCCTCTTTGGCAGCTCCAGACTTTTTCCCGGACTCCCTCCTGGCTAGCCGTGGCGCACTAGCCCCTTTCAGGCTATGTTCACGCCGCCAACCCCAGCCCTCTCCCTGCGCTCAGAACCGAGCCTCAACTCCCTGCCCCGCCCTGCCCCAGCGGATGAGCAGACAAGCCTCTCGGTCAGGTGAGTGCCGGTTGGCACCGATCCTCTGTGCGGGAATCTCTCCGCTTTGCTCTGCGCACCCCTGTTGCTGCGTTCTCCTCCGCGGCTCTGAAGCTCCCCACCCCTCCACCACCCGCAGTCTCCGCCCGCGAAGGGGCTTCTAGTGTGTGGAAACCTTTCCTCCTTCACAGCTCCCTCCCACCGGTGCAGGTCCCGTCCCTATTCTTTTGTCTCTATTCTTTTTTCTTTTGCCCTACCCAGGTACGTGGGGAGTTTCTTGCCTTTTGGGAGGTCTGAGGTCTTCTGCCAGAGTTCAATAGGTGTTGTGTAGGAGCTGTTCCATGTGTAGATGTTGTTCTGATGTATTTGTGGAGAGGAAGGTGAACTCCGCGTCTTACTCTTCCGCCATCTTGAAGCTCCTCCTCTAGAGGTGAATATTAAAAAGAAGTTTCTAATGTGGGGACCACACCCTGCCTCTGAAAATTATACGGTATACACTTTGATTAGACATGATCGTTTAGCTTAGGATTTTCCCCCAAGGTGCCGCCCACCCCACCATATGTAACATCGGGGCTCTTCCTAGGACACTTATCGGGTCAGGCCTATCTTTGGGTGGCATTTTAGCCTTACTTTCGGAGGAAGAGAATTGAGACCAATCAAAGTCTTTGCCTTATTTATTTGGAAAGAAGCGAGCAATAAGATAGAAATAGTGTTTTAGGAAAGAGGCACAAAGCATGGCACTAATCTTGCCAAAGCTAGGAATTGTGTAGCTTCTTGCCTGTGTAGTGCAATTCATAATAATAATTTTATTATTATCTGTTAGTTATTGAGAATTTACGATATGTTAGACACCAAGCTCATGGCTTTCCTTGCATTTTTCTCGGTTCCTCCTCTTAAAACTCTATGAAATAGGAGCTACTCAGAAAAATCAGGTAACTTATCCAAGATAACCCTGTTGATAGGTGGCCGAGCTAGTCTTTCTATCTCCAAAATTCATGTGTTTAGCCATTCTGTGATATTCTTCTCTATGGAAATGATTCAATATTTGAATTGGTTTAAAAGGGTATAAACATCAACTTAGGAATCCATGTCTTCCTGAAAATTTTATGAAGGATACCTTTAGTTAAGGAAAATCTACAAGGGCTAAGATGAGTTACCTCTATTTCACTGGGGTTCTCAGAATTGTTTTTCATCATGGAACTCCATTCCTGACAAGATTAGGATGGATAGGTGGACAGATTGGTCTTTTAAATTGCTTTTCCCTTTGGTATTTTACGATTATGCAGTGCTCTTGGAACTTTTCCATATCTCATATGAAGTACCCAGTATTAGATTCTGCTCGCAATGACTACTAATACTTCCATGTCTCCATTTCCCTGTTTCTACAATGAGAATAATGTACTTTTTTCTTTCTTCATGGGGATACTATAAGCTACTCTTATATTACAACAAAAATATAATAGCTATGTAAATGCTTCAAGTTTATGAGGAAGACCAGAAACAAAAATCCAAGTTACCATTGTCATCTAAATTATTTACATTGTAATGCAAAAATCGAAAGACTCATAGCTTCTGTGGCACACTTAGCTTTATTGAAATTGAACAAATATTTTTAATAACCCCTTTTACAGCACATGTAAAATTTAATTTTTTCATTATATTTTTTACAGGTTGTCTTTTATCTGAGTAAGCAAAAATACGTCTTTTTTTTTTTTTTTTCTTACTTAAAACATGTAGCCAGGATTCAAACCACGTAGCTCTGGTACCAAAAAGGCAACAGGTTATGAAAATCACAGTACAATTTTAAAATTCTTTAAGTTAGTTAAGGATATTTCCAACAATATTCACTTGGATTGACAGTAGAAATCATGGGTCAGTTGACATTAGGACTAATAGTTACACCTACAATGAGAGCAGAAATGGGAAGTTCAAGCTAATATGAGCTACACCGTTCAGGACACATCATCTCCATAAATACTGTGGCTGAGAGGCTGCGACGGCTAAGTCACACTTGAGTACTTAATTGCACGTAAATATAGCCAAAGTGAAAAAAAATGTAGGGTGCTAACTTGGATCTAAAAGAAAATGGGCATTTATTTTTAAGAGGACATACGGTCAAATCAATTTCACAATACACAATTCAAATCCCCAAATTACATCTAGGAAAGAAAAAGAGTATTAAAATGCACACCTACACGGACAGTAAAGTATAAACTTGTTCTTTGTGATTGGTATTTATTTTTTGTTGTTGTTTTCTTGATAAGTAGAAATTATTTATGACCCACAAAAGGATTCCTCAGGTGAAGCACTAATTACGGACATCGTAAAGAACGTAGCTCAGCAGGCTTGTTTTAAAAATGAGGCAGCATTTTCCTGAAAAAGTTTGGTCCTCAACTCACTATAGGCTAGTCACTATGGTCAGATGGTAAGCATTTTCCTTTTGTGTGTGTGCGCGCACGCATGTGTGTGCACGCACACGCATGTGTTTAAGCTGTCTTTTCAGTACCAGAATTAGTCAAAACCAAACCAAACCAAACTGAACCAAAAGACAAATAGCCCTCAAGTACTTGACTTTGCATATCATGTCTATTTAATGCATCATCTGAAAGAGCAGTGCTAAAGACTGTGAAGGGAATTATGCTCACGTGATTCTGCAACACCGTAATTTTGTGCAAACATTTTCCTTCATTGCCCGGATAACTTATCTTTTTTCATGTAGGTGCCAGGAAACCCGCCCCCATGATCCTCCCTCCCCCCTCCCCCAGTCTTCTCCTCTGTCAAAGTGATGTAAAGACAATTTCACTGTGTATTTACAAGCACAACAGTTAGGCAAGAAGGTCCCAGGGTCTGAAGAGCACATCTATTTCTTGTGGACATCTTCATGCCGAATGATCTTGTATGTGATCCAGTAAAAGATGTTGAAAATGAGGAAGGCCAATGGGAAGGCAGCTCGAGAAATCGTGTCAATCCTTTTTGCCCGGTCTACAAACTTCTTCTTGATGGCATCTGCATCTTTGGGGGGCTGTGGGAGCTGGCTGGCAGGTGTGGCCTTGACAGCTGTTCCATCTTTCACTTGAAGGCAGTGACCCATCCCGTAACCACTGAAATTAAAACGACTTTCACGAGTAACATCTTCTTCCTGGAAGAATAAAGACAGGGAAAGCACAGATAGGTTGTCAGTCAAATCAGATGGAAGGTGCTTAAAATTCTTCAGAAGTAAAAGGATAAATCACAGTTAACTGGTAGTGTGGAAGGCTTTTGGAATGGGGAGTTGTCTTTCAAGTTCAACTCAATTATTCATGGAACAGATACAGTTCATTAACTTTTCTGGCTGAGAAATTAAGTGTAAGAATAATGACTCCGTGGTCATTTTAATTAATTAACAAACAGAAATACCTATATTATACTCAGCACTGACTGACGTTCCCAAATTCTAGTTTATTGATCCACAGCTTTGAATAGACTGTTTTAAAGCTAAATCTCCAAATCCCAGTATTACACTCTAAATCTAAGAAGGGGACTATTCATTCATTCACTCACTCATTCATTCATTCACCCATTCTTTCATTCAACAAAGCATTTACTGAATCTCTGCCCTGTACCTGGCCCTGAGCCAGGAACTTCTAGTATTGTGGCTCATTCATAGCCCAGTTCCTTCCATTAACATTGGCTTCAATGTTTGTGTTAGATCTAAGATTAACCCCTTAAATGTATAACCTTTCCTCTCCAGCCCTCTAGTTCACCTCAGTTATATAGCAGAGATTAAATATTCAGTGTTTGGAGTTGAATATTTCTACCATGGTTAGTTTTTCTAGTGTCAACTTTTTACGTTGATTCTTTGGCTATTCATATCTACCATATGAACATACGTCGTTTTAGGTGATGTGAGTGGTTTTTTGTGTTATTTCTACATGAATTAGATAAAAGACTGAAAAATTGTAACCTTATGGTAAAGAGCAAATACCCTACATAGAGACAAATGTATGGAATTTGGGTGCGTGGTTGGGTTGAAAAGATGGGATTGAAATGACCTGCTTAATAAAAATCTTGTTCTAAATAGCCATCGATTGAATCATCATCTTTTGCAGTTAGATTACTGTTTTCTACACACTGTGTCACCCCTTTGAAACACCAAAGACACTGCGCTCTTTATCTTGCTAGAGAAGAATATTATATCAATTAATTTGGTTATTTTTCCAAAAGACAGTAAAATTTGTATTAATTTTATTTCATCAGTGTTTATTGCATGTCAGTTGTGCCTTCACACATATAAAAGATATACTGAATGAAGGACTTTAAAAAATTTTATTGGAGTATAGTTGGTTTACAATATTGTGTTAGTTTCAGGTGTACAGCAAAGTGATTCAGTTATGCGTATATTATCTATATATCTATATTGTTTTTCAGATTCTTTTCCCTTATAGGTTGTTACAAGATATTGAGTAGAGTTTCCTGTGCTCTACAGTAGGTCCTTGTTGGTTCTCTATCTTATATGTAGTACTGTGTGTATCTGTTAATCCCATCCTCCTAATTCATCCCCCCCCCCCGCCCGCCACGTTTCCCCTTTGGTGCCGTAAGTTTGTTTTTGAAATCTGTGAGTCTGTTTCAGTTTTATAAATAAGTTCATTTGTATCATTTGAATGAAGGACTTTTAACATAATATTAATGTGAGATGGCCCAACTGTAATCCAAATGGTACAGCAAGGACAAATTTAGGTCAGGAAAATCAGGCCAAAGCACTTCTAATAAAATAACTGTAAAACTACTCCTTTATAAAACCATCTTCCCAGTACTTTTATGTATATGAGATTGTCCTGCACAAGTTGGTTCAGGATACTCTGTCTCATTTGTTAACAAAATGTAATAAGGATTTTTCATTCAACAATTAACTGTTGAGTCTATGGCGAGTATTTTGCTAGATGCTGGGAGACAGTTGATGAAGTTGGACAAGAGCCCTACCTGCATGGAGCTTTCAGAACCCAGTGGAAGTGGCCAACCTAAAGGCATTCTCATATAGGGAAGCTGGCTAAGAACACCCAGCCAGACATTAGAGTACTTCCATGTATTCAGCTCTATAAGCTCTATAATGAAGACTTCAACTGGACTCAGATTCAAAGAGTAAATCTGGTTTCTTTGTCTAAAATGGGAATGATATATTTTATGGGTGCAAAACTTTCAAATACGTGAAATATTTTAAAATGTGGACTAAACAGATATATTAATCATTACAGTGTCGTTGGAAGACTTATTAGCAAGAATGTTGGAAGACTTATTAGCAAGAATGGAAGCACACAGGTCACTAGGAGGAGGGGACTTGTTAGTCACATGGGTTATAAGCAGTCTTATTCTTCCTGCCTATTACTAACTGGTAATTAGATCTTAACCAGTGTGTGAGAGAAGTAGAAACGGTGTGATTTGGTTTAGTTAAAAGATCCAGACTAGGAATTTGGCTATTTGGGTTCTAGGCCTGGCTCCAAAGGTTATAAGCTGTGCTGATCTGAGGCAAGATATTTATTCTTTCAAGGGCTCAGAGACCTCATGCCAAACTGTTGAGTCTGGACTAGGTCTGTGGGTCTCAGCTTTGGCTGCTAGGGAACCTGTACAAGTATATGTATGCTTGCCTCTCCTCCCAGCCTCTTCCAGATCAACTGAATCAGAATCTCTGGGAATGAGAGCTGAGAATCCATATTTTTTTAAAAATCCAGTGACTCTAATGCAAAAGGTTGGAAACCAGTGGCCTAGATCAGCTCTAATGTCCAGCTCTAACCTAGTCTATGTTATTAAGTCTAATATAACTTTTCAAGTGGAAACAATCCCTCAAAATACATTTCCCCTTATCTGCCTAAATTTACTGTGCTGTTTTTCCTTTCCATATCTGTAGAATCTTACAAATTGCTGTTCTCACCTCTGTAAACACTTAGAAAGTCATGAATAAGTGTATAGTTCACTGCCTGAGTGAGATAAGATTCTTTTAAATGTCCTGGGTCCCTGAAGAAATAGAAAGAGTAGTTGGCTAGTAACCTGTTTTTAGCACATGAAACAAAAGGAAACCTAAATACACACATCCATGTTTCTTTTCAGACTGACTCATTCATTTAATTTCTGTAGTCTTTCTTCACATACTGTGAATGGACAGCTGAAGAGATTAACTCATTCAATTAACTAGCAGAAGCAGAAGAGAATGATACCAGGTTAGGTTATTATTATGTCGTACATTGCCGTGCAAACTGTGGGCGCTTAATAAACGTTTGTTGAATAATGAACAAAGGGAATTTTAAGAGAGTTTCTCTCTGCTTGAAAATACTTTCACCATTCATTCAACAGTATTTCAAATTATGCTTCTGAGCATAGTTACAACTAATTAAATCAATTCTTTAAAATTCTCTACCACAAAAATAAATCTGTCACAGGTAGAATTTATCCATTTAATTTTTCATGTGCAGGAGATATGAATGCTAGTTTAAGGGTCTTCTTATTTACCATTATGATTCATTCAGTGCATTTTAAATATAGAACCTTAAATTACCCACATCAAAGGGTATGGTCTTGATTCAGAAAACATAATTGCAACCAATTTGAATTTTTGTGTTATAATGAATGACTAACTGCCTTTGTAGCAGGTTCAGAATAAAAACGTTATGGTAATGTGGCAAGATTCCTATATGAGGGCAAAGTGGAGATGAGCTTGAGTCATGGATAAACTGAAGCTAAAATAAAGAGCAATCTGTAGGCACAGATTAGTTGAATGTATTCACAGGGACAGTCGGTGTAATCCTCTCAGTGAGGAAAGAATTGCAGGCATATACCCTCCATTTCTTCTAATTAGCCAGAAAACCAATTACTTAATTATTGCTACTGACCTGCCACCTTCAGTATCTTTGAGCAATAAATACTTCTAGCTCACTCTGTTTTGTTTTTCACTGATTAAATTCCCACAGAAAATGAATCATCCAGTTGAAGTTTCAGTACATGCAATTTCTATATCCCACTTTGATAAAATCTCCTTAAACCCTGTCTGCTGTAAGTAGGAAGCACTGCCATGGTGCTATGCAATTCATTGGAGACTTATCATCTTATTTTATCTTATCCATCAGTTTTACTTATTGTAAAATTCACCCATTCCTGTGTTTGGAATAACTCTTGTCTGGATGTGAAACTGAACCTAAAGCTCACCAGAATTGCATCGTACTGAATTGTTTAAGCAAATAATTTCAATATAATTAAAGAATATAGGATTTATACAATGAAAGATTTCAGTGGGACCCATATTTCCAATTTTTCTTTTATGTCCTAGAAAGGAGGAAATAAAAGGACTCCTATAAACTGGGGTAGGGGAAAACTCTTTCCATCCCATTTCTCACCCAGATTCTTTGATTGAATCTTTGCCCTTCTACTGGAATAGGAAATGGCCCAGTTGGAACTGAAGTTTGCAGTGAGCTTCAATCAATGCAAGGACATTATGGAGTCTCCAGCCCTCCTTAGGAAACAGTGTGAGTCCAAACACAAGTAGGTTTTTACCAAAAAAGTCCCCTGAGCAAATGAAGGCTGGGTGATGCTTAATGGTAGCCCTGCTTGGGCTTCCTAGCCTTGGGGAGGAGGGATGGCCTTGAGAAATTCTCAATTCTTTTTTTTTTTTTTTTGCGGTACGTGGGCCTCTCACTGTTGTGGCCTCTCCCGTTGCGGAACACAGGCTCCGGATGCACAGACTCAGCGGCCATGGCTCACGGGCCCAGCCGCTCCGCGGCATGTGGGATCTTCCCGGACCGGGGCAAGAACCCGTGTCCCCTGCATCGGCAGGCGGACTCTCAACCACTGCGCCACCAGGGAAGCCCTGAAATTCTCAATTCTTATGGCCTCAGTTTTCTCCTCTGTATCATGGGGGCTTGGGAGTAGATATGAATAATAAATAGATATCATGTATTGATTATAATTATATACCATGCACTTAAAACCACAGTCAGTCCTATCACCAAACCATCCCTACAAATCACATGGTTTCAGAGGAAACTGAGACGGAGAGAAGTTATGTGGCTTCCTGAAGTTATATTGCTAATAAATGTTGAAGCTGAAATTCAAATCAGGTCTGTCAGATCTCCAAATTGTCTGATTCTGAAGACTCTGGAAGTCTTTGGTTTTTAT